GGCGGGGTGCGGGTGGCGAGGGTCGCAGGCGCGGAGCTACGGCGCGGGGCGTGCACATGTCGACAGCGCCCGACGCGCTCGCGCTTGTGGAAGAGGTGGGGGAAGTAGTGGGACCGGGAGTGCTCGTGTTCGCGTGATCAAAGATGGCGCGGCCGCAATGGCGTCTCGTGATATTGTAAGGCTCCGAGAATAACAGGATTCAATACCTTGGAAGTTTAAAACATACACAGAAAATCTGTGAAAAAATCGAGAGCGTTCAGTCGAATGAAAAATAAATTAATTATTTGAATGAAAATTATTACACGGATACACGAAATAATCGATGAAACGTGAATTTGCCGTATAGATGTTTTGACTCGTTTAAGAGTTATGTGCTAATAAACAACACTATTGCAATTTTAATGGCGTCGAATGGGACTGTTGTAGGGTGAACATAAACAAAAAATTAACATGTGTTTAGATATTATCTGTGTAGTGGTGCTACTGACGTCCCCATATCTTTATTGCCTGGAAATTAAAAAAGTGTTTATAAACAAATTATCTTCCAAACTTAATTACGCCGAAACGGTGGCTTCTACGACAATATTGCAATTACCTTTTCTATCAAGACAAGGCGAGCTGATGAATGGCTATATTTCTGAACGACTCCCCGGTTTGAGCCCAACCGCAGAACATTTTAAATCATTAGTAACTTGCGTTTTCACTGACTGCGTAATGCACGTGAATTTTTTGCTGATGAAGTTTTTATTGGTTTTCTTTTTTGTTTAACGCCATCGTTTCAATTGAAGCCACTTTTTCTTCTGAATAGATTCAGTCCTTCAAGACGATAGTAATGTTTCTTCTACCAAGAGAAAACAGTTCGTTTAAACACAATATTTGAATCGACAAAAGTCGCATTTTAATGTGAAGGTCTGAACTGAATTTGCGATATCTCGTTCAAGTTGCATCGAATGAGAGAAATGTGATTTTTTTCTCTTTGAAAACGGTACTCCAAAACATCTTTACAACATATATTTTGTTCTTTTCTTCCACTGGAAACGAACAACTTATTTACGCATAATGAAAATAAAAGGCAAAGAGCAGAAAGCTCATTTGATGCCTCTCAGTGGTGAAATCAGTGAGACAATCCGGTGCCAACCTACCTTCGGCTGGCAGGGTTTTCCCTAACCATGTATCTTCCACCAGCGGGGCACCGCCCTTGCCGGAACAAGCTCTAAGCTTTAGACCAATCTCCCGGCGTGTGTGATAGTGTACTGCATGTTAAAGTGGGTGTAAAGGATAAGGATAGGAAGTGTAAGAGGAAGAAAAGATGACGAGCGGCCCGTGGCCCGTTTACTAGGGTACTTCTCTGGCATTCGCCTGGTGTTGATTGGAGAAACCACGCAAAACTACCAATCAAAACAGGTGGCCGCTAGTATTCTCCTTCAGACATCGGCTGAATTCGACCTCGCTATATGTGTCGAAAATCTCCCCGCCGACAGGATTCGAACCCTAGAGACTCGCGGACAAAAACACTGTAGTCACATCAGTTGATGCCCTGAGCCACCTTTGTCGGTTATTAGCGTACAAGATAGGGATATTTTGGCACTATCTCAGTTACTGTGCTTTTACGGAAAATAGAGCATAGGGGGCTTTAAATTTCTTATCATTTTCTGATCTAACATAGATACATTAATATGAGTGTTTACGTCTTCTATCAAACAAATATGGGTTTGCAAGTTTCCTCCATGTTAGAAAGTACAGTCGTAAAGCTGAAAGAGAAATTTCCACCTTCATTTCTTAGTAATTCACCAAAACTTATTGTGCAACATTTAATTTCACGTTTTGTAGGTTAAATTAAATAAGTGAAAATAAAATCATTTTTGCCATAGAATTGCATGGAGGAAACTTGCAAATCCATATTTTTTGATAGAAGTATAGTATACCATCAGCCCTACTCTTAATAAAAACAATATTTTTTAAATCGAAAATAACGCAAAACTCGCATTTTGAAAGGAGTGTACATGACCCTATTAAAAGAACTTAAGTTTTTAGAACCGATTTCATTATGGCAATTATTGTGCTACAAGTACATATTTCCCCGCATTATTTCTAACTTTTGGAATTTTCGAAAATTCAAAAGTTGAGCGAAAATAAAACCAGCGCTATTTTAAAAATCCTTTATAGGAAAAAAATTAAGAAAAGAATTGGATTTGTTTAAAAAAAATTAAATAAATACCATTGTATTCAACGAGAAATTACGCCAAAAATACTTTTTTCGAAAATAATTTACATGACCTTATTTGAAGATTTATTTTTTAGAACCGATTTGAGGAAAACGTTTAATAAAAACATTTAAAGATATTTTGGAGAAAAATTTCAAAATTTTGTGATTTGATGTGATACCTCCAAAATCAAAATATACGTTTGAATGTTGCAGGATCTGGAGTTTGTCTAGATCGAGTGGGAAACCTCAATTTTGGAGAAAATAATTTAAACAAGTCCCTGGGCAGACTCATGAACAACGTGCTAGCGCGCTGTGGGGCCCTTGGCAAAAGTGAAGCTTCAGCTTTCTAATACACATTGTCTCAGTTTCTATAGCTGTGTGGAGGAAGAGAAATCTGAGGCGGGCCAAATAAGCTAGGATCGATGGTGGGAATATGTCATGATTACAACTCTATCTTACACCTATGCGTGGATAATAAATGAAAATTGAGCGTAGGCTTGAGAACATCTCTAGCTGGCAAAAAAGGGATTAATCTGACTTTTAAAGGCTAAATACGTATATACTACATCGTCTGAAAGCTTTCAGCGCCACGTTGGCCACAGTGGGGACTGTTGAATGAGCTAACAAACGGACGGAAAAACGAAAGGACAGACAGACGGACCAGCGAACACATTTTGCCGTAAACCTTTTCGGTATCAAAGACCCACAAAAGGTGAGTTCTGCCTACACATCGTAATTTACTACGTAAATAAGCATATGTATTCTCTCTTTCGATTACAGGGATCAACACAGGGAATTCGTTAAAAGGGAGTTTTTCGGGGGGGGAGGGGAACCCGCCACTTTCAGCTGCATCATTACAATACCTTTTCTTACTATGTAAGTACGCAGAAGACAAGAAAGTAAAAATGCATATGTGGAAAAAGCACACATCATGAAGAGCAAATAGATGCACTGATCCGTGCCTCTATTCACACATCTAACGGATTTCTATTACGAATATTATTTTACCTGAGCGAAATTTTGAAGTTGTTATCCTCTCTCTGGAAATTTTGCCTCCGATTGCTCTTCGGCTTTTGATTCTTCCTTCATCGTCTCTCCCTGACTCTCACACGCAACCACTAGCAACTCGTGCGCAGTATTAAAGGTACCATACTGCCAAGTGCGCATCGTTGGTGGCGGTTTTAGTCCGCCTCTCTCCATAGTAACACTGACCGCAGGCTATTTCTAGGGGGCGGGTGTCCTTCTAGACTGAGCAAACACCTCTCATAGACGCCTAAAGTCAGCCGATAAATTTATGGTTTTTCGTAGTAAAACCCACACAAAGAACAACACAACTACTTACGTGCATGGAAAGGAATATTCCGTGTAATGATCTTGGCCTTCTGCGGTACAACCATGAGTGGAAGGTTATACACACCACTTCTGGTTTCGGAGAGCACGTAAAACCACTTCTGGTTTCGTAGAGCAACCGAAACGTACTATTTTAGTAGTATACGTAATATAATGTTTATTGTGCACCGGACGGCGGAACTTCTTAAAAATTGCACTCATTCAAAACGAATCTCAAACATGTTGCGGGTTCGCCTTGTTTCATAAAACTGAATGTTTTCTTTATCTTACGTGTGGTACATAGCGAGAATGTGCCCAATGAACTAGCTTCAGGCACCACCTCCTAGAGTCCACTGTGGAAGGTGGCGCTTCAGGGCACCGCGAAAGCTACTTCCTCCATTCGCCCCTCCCCAACCCCCTTCCACCCTGTCGGCGGCCTGACGAGCTACAATGTTATCGCAACGCTATCAGTTCTGTTGCGATTCAAGGAGAGACTGCAACACTTCCCCTCAACAAGCTAAATGAAATGAAAATGCTCCAAACAAAACCGGCAGAAAAAGGAAGAAAACTAGCTTCAACTATTGGTGCTACAATAGCACACATATGCACATACCTTTTGCAATTTTCGAAAACTCTGATAAGACCAGCTCATTTTCGCAAGGCCTTCAGTTCGGCCATATCAATAGGGAAAAAAGAAGTTATGGAGAAAATTCTATGAACAGTTTACGTGCTAGCGGTGACCACTTACTGTAAACCAAGTTTTCATTTTAAAGGACCTCAAAACGTGGATACAGACTACCCAATGTTAGAGCAAGTGGTTTGCTACATATAAGTTCAAGATCATTGAGCACTACAGACCTTCGCAAACAAAAAGTTGATTTTCAAAACGACGTGACTCATAAATATCATATTCTTAAGACGCTCCTCCATTATGCTGTCAAATATGGTTCTAAAAAGTTCGTTTCTCCTATGTAAAAAGGGAATTGAAAACCTTTAAAACATATCTTGAACTAAAAGGCTGAATGTGAATACACTCCTTTTCGGAAAATTGTATTTCGTGTAGATATGTCACTTTGGAAATGTGCTCTTGAATTATGTGCAGTGAGGTAACTAGTAACTGAAATATATAGTGATCCATTCATGCCAATTGCTTACTATGAAGCCGCTTTTAGAGTAACATATATTGAGAATTTAACTCTTAAATAATGAAACAATTAATGAACAAAACTTTGCACAAAGTGTTCTGAGTTTCACAAAAATATTCCAGGTAGGTATATATTTTTTATTTATTTATTGACACATAAATAAATGTGTAATACTTTTATGTTTCTTACTACAATTTCATATTTTGAATCCTTGTGTGTAAAATCTTATGTTGTCGTTTTAAAAAGTCTTATTATGTTATAATTATATAATAATTAGAATTACGAAAGCAAGACTGAAGAAATATTTCCCTTGAAGACAATTGTTTCAACCAAGCCCGTTAAGAAGTACGGACCGCTCTACGAACCCTACCTGTAGCCCTGGAGACAACCGATAAGCATGGGTCTGCCCTCTGAGAAGAATCTAATGCCATATTGCATTCGTTGTCCTAAGAATATTTTTACAAAGAATAGGGCATAGACAGCAAAGATAACTAAGGCAACAACTGTTGTCAATGTAATGTCTCGGACCGGGAAGTCTTAGGGTTCGAGCCCGACGGAGACGGATTTTCGTTTGTAGCTAGATAGCTACAGGTAGTGCAGAAAGTGATCGTACATTTGCGTTAGAGGCTAATAGAGTTTTCCATTCGTTGTACTGAAACCCACACTAGTGCAGGGCCAAACGACATCGTTGCGTAACAGTGCTGCCCCACACGCGTGAAAGGCAGCAATGAATGACACGGATTCCGGAACTGATAAGTGAGTCAGTGCGTGTGCGCTGTCTAGTGAGCTCATTGACAGCCGTTCTTGGTCTCTCACACTTACAGAACTCGAAAAATAAGAATTTGGAATTATGACTGTTGTTACAATTTTTGTATTTATTATTTTAGCACAACGTGTACAACTTTTGGTAATTCTTTATTCCTTAATTCACAGATTATTAACGTGTGATTTATTTATTTGAAAACTATCGAAATCTAAAATTTTATCTTATCTTCAAAACGTATCGCTCGAAATTTTATTTCTCGAGCTTTGACAATGATTGATATAGTACATTAGATTTTGAACCGAAAATCTTCTGCAGAATTATTTGGTTATTGAAAACTAAAAATATGTTAAGATGAGCATTACCGCTGGCATATATATGCGATTGCGAGAACTTTTTTTAGTATATTTGAATGATATTGTAAGGGCATTAGTCACTTTTTTAATTTTTAGTTAGCGTTTCGAAATTTAGACGTGCCAATACTGTTTACTAAAGAGCACTGTATTTGTTAACAAGACGTTATTCAAGGTTACATTTCACGAAAACACAAACTGATTTTCCGAGCTTCCTGTAAGTTACCAACATTATGTTAAGACACTTCTTGTAAAACATGATAAACTTCATCATTCATAGTGTCTGAATTTCACACGAATCCAAATCAACATTCATAACTTCTGCACCGAACCATAAAATGGCCCGTTGCAAGAGACGAGCTCCTCAGTGCAGGAAAGGGCACCCCGAGTGTGCCCTGGTTCCGTGCAATTGAGCGAATGGGACATTGACTTCTTTGCATTGTTGCTCCTTAGTGATCGAATGGAGCACGAATGCTGCCCTGATTGCGCACTGAGTGCGCTCAAGTGCGGTGATTGGAAAACGCTATAAATGTGAATTAATACGATACATAGGGTGTAATGAATTTGTTTAGCGTAAAATATAAATAATATTAAATTTCATGTTTAGTAAATGAAAGAAAAATACAAAAGACAAATCTAATAACTAAAAATAAAATAAAATTGACAGAAGTCCTGCAGACTAGACGTCGAATGTGATAGTTCGGTCGAAATAATGAAGCAATACTTTCCCATCCGGAGTTCCATTATATGTTCCATGAAACTCTGTGTAGCACTAACAAGGAGAAAATCATCGATAATCCTCAGTACAAAGATGCCAGCACAACGTAGGAGGGGAAATGGTCTGCAACCGAACGGAAACTAGTAACACTATAAAAAGAAAAGTAATTACAAATTTGTACAGTAAGTCCTAATCTGTGCAAAATATTTTGATTTTTAAAATAGACCTTGTTAAATCATGCAGTCACTAATTAATAGTTTTTTATTTATAAAGTAGTAAGAAATTATTACCGATCAGATAGACCAAAAATGTTCAATGAAGTAGATTAGCGACTCGAACAATTAAGAAAGGACACAAAATTACTGTGAAATTGTGAGAGGAATTGAGGAAACGCGATATTGAAGTATCAGCTAGTACAAATCGCAATATTTGCAGCAAAAAGGGTATCATACTCAGAAAATGTTCTACGTCAATAAACAAATCACATAAAACGTGAAGATTTTGCAGAGTAGTCCCGAAAGGAAGGAGTGGTCTTAGGAATTTAGCGATATTTTCAGATAAATGCAAAAGTAATATAATTCGTCACGAAGGGAGACGAAATATAGAAAATACAATGTGTCTAATGAACAATGTATTAAACATGCTCATTGAGGAGAATGGTGTTTAATTGACCCCTTAACTACGACCGAGTTAGTGAAATTCATGCCGCGAAGAGAGCAGACAATAACTAAAGCAATGGAAACCGTACTTTGTATTATATGAGGTAATATATTTGTTAAATACATGTGTAAGATGAGTTTTGCGCGTTAAAAATCGAAGTGCTTTCTTTCATTTATAAATATCCTACAATTTTTACTAGTTTGAGCTTTATGTCTTGAGGAAATAAATAGTTGTTTTCCTGAAGTCTTCCTTATGTATTCTATCTACATATTTCTATAAAATTCGATTCGCCGGTCAGAATCTTAGGGCTTGTCCCGGTTGGGACGGTGCACCGTTGGTAGGGATATCTGCAGAAGGAAACCACGGACTCAGAAGTGCAAATCGCCGCCGAATCTCATATGCTAGGAAGCGAGTAACAAGGCCATCTCTCGGCGCTACACTTACTGGACTAATAACCTAAGCGTCCGGAAACATGAATTTCTCCCTTTCTTGAATAAAAGGCTGAGCTGAGATAAGTGAATACACCTCTTATGATGAATATGATGAAACGAAAGAACGAGGGGCAGGAGAAGCGAGGAAACATGCCTGAAACCCCCTCCACTCCAAGAAAAATGTATGTTCACGCCCCAACACATGAACGGAATCACTGTGTTAGCCCGTATACTATAGGGCATCTCCAGGCAAATCGATAGAAGTCGTTTATTTGGTCGCCATTTGAGAAGGGTACCGGGAGAGGTGGCTGAGGGCATCAACCGATGTCACTGCAGTGCCTCTGACCGGGAGGTCCTATGTTCTAGTCCCGACGATGGGAGGATTTTTGACACTGGCTAAGTAGCTATTGTAGATCGTTTTCTGTCACTGTGAGGAGGAGAATTCTAGCGGCCGGCTGCACTGCTCATCAATTTCCGCGGGGGCGGACAGTGGCCCTCGTCGCCAGGCCGGCCTCTGCCCGCCTATATCCCCGCCATCTCCGCGGCGTGGGAACGGCGGCGACGAGGCACGGCCACGGGCGGTGGAGGCGGCGGTATGCAGCTAACTGCGCAGTTCGCCCGCTATACGAGCAGGGCCTGAATCATTTGAATTCCCCATCAGCGCCGTCGCGTCGCGACTTGGTGCCGTCTAAGGGGCGGTGTTTTTTCCCTTTTTTCAGCAAAGTTACCGTACACTTGTCTACCTGCGAAAGGAATTCATTTCCTGATAAATGATAAACCAACACTGTACATTGTTCAGTTCTACTAGTTTTCTGAAGTTTCATTTATTGGCATTAGCTCAAAATATAATAAATATAAATATTAAAATAATTTTATAAAACTATATTTTCAGATTGTCTTCGCCATACATAGGACTGAAAGCAATTTCTGATGATTCTGTCGAATACACGATCAAACTCTTATTCGCTATAAAATAAACGGTAGGATCACGACATCGTTAACTGGTCACAGCCCTCGCATGATCTTTTCTTCCGCACTCTTTCCCCCTCCTCTCCCCTAATACAGTCTTACATTTACAAGCACTACACTACCATGCATATCGGGAGACTAGTCGGGAGCTTAGAGTTGGTCACGATTGGAAGTGTGGCATCCTGGGAGAGATACCTGGAGAAAGAAAGCCCACAAGCCGATATGTAGGTGAATACTAGTTGTCACGTACCAGTGGAAGAGGAG